AAACACATTCGTGATAACTACTTTCGAGTCCCGGATATGAAAACACTTTTCAGTTCCGTGGATTCGAAGGCATTATTTAACTATTTGAAAGACATCGGTCTATTTTATAGACTCTGATGTCTTTTAACCCACCTTACCATTTTTGACGTTATATATATATCGCATATTCCATATCATCTCTTCGTTATCTCTTTTATTATTTTAACCCCCTTTTTATTTTTTATTATCTATACATACAATGCGAATGCTTTTAAAATGAACCATTTTATCTGATTTTATCTTCGCTACTCACATGTTTGTTAAAAAAAATAAAAAAAAATAAAATAAAAATCACCATGGCCCTAAATGACCACAGCCGTCGATGGGCCGTTAACATAAACAAACAAACAAACAAACTTACTCATTAACGATTGCATATACACATGAGCGCTTTTCTAATATAAGCAAAGCAGCACGTTAGGTCGACAATACACGGAGTTAGTTCATACATGTAAGACTTTTATCTCAAAACACATATATCTTCTTTCTCACATCTATACAGCCTGCCTACATATCACACTGTTCGTATATATATTGTATTTCATCAAGCTTTCATTACCACATTTTTACGGTCTGTGTATGCTATAAACTCGACTCGAATGGTATATATTGAGGCAGTCTAACTTACGAAAGTATGCTTATCGGAACCTTCCGATCAACTCTCCAAAATGAAAAGGTACTGCGCATACCTGATCCGTGTGTCTGACCTCTGTGAACGCGTGATTGGTTCCTATTCTATTAAGGATCCCCGTCTCAATGCAATGTGGTTACGTCCCCTTAACTTCCGTTTGAATATTACTTGAGAACAGTTGGGGCAAAACACTTCCGAAGATTAGATAGCTTAATCGTTTTTTCAATTTTCATATTTATATGCTGATTTATACAAAAGCATGCAGGGGAGAACTGATATAGGCATAGCCTGTTGTTCAATCCAATTCATACAACATCATGGATAAAATTTGTTGAAAGGAAATGGAAATCGGTTAGAGCGATAGTATAACAATCTAAAAATCTGATCATCGGTTCCTGGTCGAGCCCTACTGAATTTCTTTACACTCAAAACTCTATTGTTGATTATATTTTGTATAGTTCATCGTTATGGTATCTTATAAAAGTCCCGTACGGTATGGTTTTCTTTTTCAAAAATAACCATGCCAAAATAAAATCGAATACTTAGTTACAGTTTGTGACAGTGGTACGGGGATTCCTTTGTATAAATAATTAACAGGCACTATATATAATGAGTCGCGCGCACTAAAATATTCGAGATGGACTAAGACAGGGAGGCAAGCCATTCTGTTCAATATCTAAAGTACGCCGATGTTTCATATATGAATCAGTGTTGTGGCTGCCACCTTGGAGTTAATTTTTTTGCATGGATCCTAACAAAGAAACTGTAAAGACCTCTTATGTTTTTCGATTAGTTAATGCGATGTTTTGTTCCCATTGGTCTGGTATGTGTTTATTGCGTAAAGCCTACCCTGTTGTCAAGTTTGCATATCAATATTGTTTACAGTACTTAAATATATCTCTCTAACGGCTGTTAGACGTTAACAGTATTCCGTCTTTGGGTACTGCAGAGTTATCTTCTCTTGTGAGCAGGTATTGATTGTTACGTCATTGGTTTGTGAGAGTAACGTCATCAATTTTTCAGAAATCAACGTAATTTTCTAACACAAAACAATGACGTACCAATCAATAGCTGCTCACAAGAGAAGATAACTTTGCAATACGCAAAGACGGAATATGTGCCGATCAATATCTTCCCTAACCAGGAAGCACTACGAAATCTGTTTAATACCCGGTATCCTGGCTTGCATGGGGACAGCAGGGGTTAACATATTACTCCGTACTATACTGTATCTTCTCTGGACAATTGCACTCTGCATATTAAATATATGTGATGATATTTATCCGAATCCTTGTCCACATACATATTCAACTACTAGTTTTGATAATATTTCTGTGGGTCATATTGATGTGAATTATATTCTTGATTTTCTTACTAGCAAAACCATTGATAGAATCCTAGTTCTCAAAAACACAAGAAGACCGTTTTTCCGGTGAATGTTGATTTCTTAATAAAATCTTTAGGTAAATCCCTTCATACTGGCTGTAAACAAACAATTGTTTGAATAAAAAAGGTTTCAACGTACAAAAAAAAAAACTGTTTGCATTGTTCAGCACGGTTGTTTTAATGAGCTGAGCTGTACGATAGGGAACTTGCAATGAACTTCCAAACTTCCAAACATTTTTATTCATCTCAACACCTTTGACTTACAATGGTATACAGAGATATATAGATACAAAGATGTCATGTACAGTAATATGCATGCGTGATTATGGATGGAATGCAGTATACAATCAAAATCGTCACGGCGTCAACAAGCCGTGTTCAAAAAGAACACGCCTACAAACCGAACGGTTGTTTCAGCGTGTCACTCACTGTATCTGGCTCGTCGATTGGTTGATAGAACGTTTGAGATCGATGTCGTCCTTGATATCAAAAGC